TTTAAAGCATAAAACATGAACAGATAGTTTAACGGTCAACAGATAGATATGCATTTAAACTAGCACATTCAATCAATCAGTTCAGTTTTTCAGTCAGTTCAATTACTTATCATGATCAGTCTCAGTTTAGCAGTAATCAGTGGCTTAATCAGTAATCAGTGGTGAGGGTTATTACAATAATCTACACAAAAAATTAGAAAATGAACGAAACAAATCAAGACCCATAGGGTGTGTTTGAATGGATGGGCTGGATAAGGAGAGATTATAATCCATCGGACTTGAATCTTGGAACTGTGAATCTTCCGAACTATTTGGTTGAATTGAATGTGTATCCCGTATTTGTTTTCTCATAGAATTAGATGTCTAGAAAAAACTATTTTTAGTGAATCTAATGTTTGGTTGAACAGACTAGATAGGATAAATGAGTAAAAGACTATTTTACCATTTTTCAATTGTTTACTAAGTAATAGCAATATTAAGCATATCTATAATATTTTAATTATTTTTAGCTAGATTAAATAAAAATTTATATTATTTATTTTTTTCACAATTAAATAAATTTATTTTTTTAAGATTAAATAAATAAAATATCAATAAAAATATGTGTTTTTTTTTAATTAAAATTTTAAATAAATTTATAAAATTTTAAATAAATTTATTTTTAAAAATAATAATAATTAAATAATGAAATTAAATAAAACATCTATTAAAATTTAAATAATGAAATAAAATAAAATATAAACAAAATTTTAAAATAAAATATCTATAAATAAATACAACATCAATAAAAAGTTAAATAAAATTATTTTATTTTTAAATTGAGACATTTAAATTTTATTGAATTTTACTAAATATAATACATAATTAAATAGTAGATGGTCAAAATGGTCATTTAACCACCTAATCCCAACAGTAAATTATCCCATGGAAAAAATCTCACCCCCTAGGATACAATAGTCCCTCATATGAGGAATATAAAGTCTGGCCGAACTCTATGTCCAACGAACTAAAAAAAAAACAGCCGAATAAAAAACTTCCATCGAATTACAATCCGAACAGTATTTAGTCCCCCCTAATCTCCTAATCAAACACACCCGTAATGGACTCCACAACACCAAACAACATAGTTTAGTGACTAGACCAAACTAGACAAAAAAAACCTCTTCCATTTAAAAATAATAAGTTTCAATACAATCATATCATTTTATACATATTATCCATTAGGGGTGTTCGCGGATCGGTTTTGTGCGGTTTGCGGTTCGGTTTTGACCCGCCCGCATCTATGCGGTTTGGAAAAAAGTCAACCCGCAACCGCCCGCAGTGCGGTTTGCGGTTTGTGCGGATAGGATTTGCAAATGTGCAGGCAGTTGCGAGCGGTTTGCGGTTTACACTTTTTTCTTTAAAAATTAATTTTTGAGATTTTTTTTTTCCCCAACGAATTTAGGCATCATATTCATTTTATATATTTGTGATCATTTGATAACAATTTTTTGATGAATTTACAAATAAAAGTTGAATATCAATGCATTAAATGAAAGTACCCAAAACAAAGAGACCCTACACTAGCATTTTTGCTATGAAAAAAATGTATATCAATGCATTAAAGGTTGTACTCAATTAGAATTGGCAGTTCAGTAATCAATAATCAAACTATAAGTTCTATCGACCATTAGAAGAAAAATTTTATTAGGAAAAAGTGGATGAATCACCAATGAAAATCATATAAGAAACCAAGTTTAGGACTTGATAATTCTACGGCATTAAGAAAGTTGAGAAATACTTAAAAATAAGGATCCTAGTGTCATAGAGAATATAATGGTGCTCCTGTAAAAGTTACAAAGTTGGTATATAAAAAATAATAATAATAATAATTAAAGTGCGGGCGGTTTTTGCGGGTTGCGGGTTTAAACCGCGACCCGCCCGCAACCCGCAAATTTGTCATATTTCAAACCGCATCCGCCCGCATTATGTTTGCGAAACCGCCCATTTATATACGGGTTGGACGGATTGGACGGTTTGAGCGATTCGGATAAACCGTTGTCCACCCCTATTATCCATTGGTATATCAGGTTTTATACACGAGGGCAGATGGTGTGGTGCCAAGTGGTGCGGTTTTAACTGCATCAAATCTTTCAATATTTGACAGATATGGATTATGAACCCCAACCCTTTTCTTGCGTTCAAAGTACATAAGGGTTAGTTTTTTGCAATTTGATTTTTAAATGTGCAAGTTTGACAATTTGAACATCACTTTGCTTACTTTTTAGTATGCTACTTAATGTAGTCACATCAACCTTCTATCGTACAATATCTTATTATCTTGCGTCGGAAAATTTTAATTAGAGGCTAACTAAACCTTTCATTTTTCAATTGGATTGACTGACTAAATGTTACTCTTAGTGGGCGGCCTTTCTTTTTGTCGATTGCTTTTCCTTTTCTAATCACGGGAAAAAGATTTAAAATAGAAATCTTTAAACAATCACTTATAAATTATAAGTAGCAGACTAGTTAATTAAAATTGAATTCAAGAGCCATGAATTTAGTATTCATTCTCTTACGCTGTGTTTAATTAGATATTTGAAAAGGAATTTGAAAAGTGAAAGAGAAAATGTAAATAAAATGTGAATAAAATATACATACATTTCTAATTTCACAACTCTTTTTTCTTTTTCTTTTCAAATTTCTCTCAAAATCTCTATAGTCATGTTTGATTCGCAAGACTAATAGTGAAAGTATTAATAATCCCATCAAATTAGTATGATATTCACTATCCAATTGGATTAGTAGGATAAATTATCCTCTTGTTCATTGTTTGATTTATATTGGATAAGATATAAACTAATTTAATAAAATAAATATCAAAAAATATTTTTAAATATTTTTAAATTATTTTTAGCCTTCTAAAATATAAAATTATATAAAAATAATAAGTGTTTTAATCTTTAGTCAAGGGTAAAAGAGTCTTTTTATTTTATTTCTCAGCTCAGGATATATAATCTTACCCCTACTCCATTACTAATAATCCTACAAATTTGTTGGATTAATTATTCATTGGATTAATAGTCCTAAAACAAAATTTCAAAATAAACACAGGATTATTAAATCCATAAATTAATAATTTCAATCAAACATGTCCGGTTAGATTGTAAGGTCAATTTCACCCCCATAAGCCACAAACGGGGTTTTTACCATAAAATATAGATATAAGCTGTGAAGTCAATTTTTACGTTTTGGTTGGTAGACACTCACTAGTACAAATGAGAACGACAACAAAAAAAAATGAATAGGATTGGAGAATGAATGAGGCAGTGGAGAAAAACAAATGCAACAACCCTTTTGACTCCAATGCTTGTTAGCTCCTCCATGTTGGACTTGACTACCAAACCATGCGTGTGGATTTCAATCAACTTGTGTTTTGATTATAGATTTAATCTGGGTAGAAATTTGTAGAGAAAAAAAAATTAATTAAAAAAATAAAATTAACTTATATTTGATCCATTTACATTTTCTTTTCTATTCGCGAATCTCTATGAATTCCTAAATCAAACATAAAAACATATTCCATTTTAATAAAATGAAAAGATATCATATGAAGGAGAGAAAAATATATAAAATTTATTAATTTGTAAAACTTTCCTTGTACAAAAATATTGTACAACAGCACTATGTCGCCCCCTCCCCTAACCTAAATGATTTAAATCATTGGAGGGAAGGAGCCACACAATTATGCAAAAGGTTTTGTAGGAGTGAGAGATAGGAGAGTGTCGGGATCGATTCAGGGTCAATTTTGAGGGAAGCAACCATCGACCCTCAAATCCTAAAAATTTATAAAGAGATTTATGAACGAAAAATAAAAATAAAAAAAGAAAAAGAAATTGTGAACACATCTAAATTGTTTGGCAGGAGCAAATTAAAACCTCAGGATGGGGGTGATATTAGTGATGGCAAGTCCAGGTCATGCACAAAAACAGATGCTCGATTTTCCACCTTGGGTGGCTGCTGTGGGGGGTGCACAGCAGCCACTGTTGTGCAGCCATTTGGGTCCTTTTCGGGATTCATTTTGATAATTCGAACTGTTCACATTTTAAAATATATCAAGTAAAACATACCTGTAAAAAATCGTATTAATCGGATATCGTTTACCCATTCATCCACTCACATTTGTATCTACAAAAATAAATAACAATTGAAATTTAAAGTATTAAAATGAATACAAATGTGGGTGGATGAATGAGTAGTATGACAAGAAAATAAAAATCAATGTGTTTGGTTTGAATTTTCTAGATTAAGTTTTTTGAAAACTGAATTTTTTAATTTTCGTATTCTTTTGTTTTTAGTGAATATTTTTTAAATTTTAAATATTTTTTTTACTTTTTTAGATGCACCTTAGTTAGATGTATCTAAAAATAAAAAAATTGTAAAAAATATTTAAAAAAATTAATAAATACATAGAAATACAGAAAATCTACTGAATTCTTGTATTTTTTTTTTTATATTTTTGATATTTAGTGAATTTTTAAAAAAAAAAATTATAAATTTTTTTACTTTTTAGATGTATTTATGTTAGGTGTGTCTAAAAAATAAAAAAAATTACTGAAAATATTAAAAAAATTCAGTAAAAACAAAAAAACATGAAAAATAAAAAAGTAAAATTTTTTAAAAAATGTTTTCTGAAAAATGAAATCAAGCAAGCTGATTATGGTTTTTTTCCAAAAACAAAGCAAATACATAAAAGAATCCATGAAGAGTATATAAAAGTTGATCTATAATATAGGTACTCTCTTCCCTTGCATTGCTTTCAGAAATACCTATCAGAACCTAACAAAACTTTGCATCCATTGAAATTGTGCACCCCTTGGGGAAGTCTCAAACCTAGTTTCAAGAACAATAAGCTTTGCGTATTCTGTGCTTTCACTAGGTTTTCACCGACACCAAAGCAGTGTAAAAATTCACAATTAATCACAAGTCACAACTCAAATTCATAACATAAGCAAATCTAATAAACAGTTCAACTAAAATAATAAATAAATAAAAAAAGGTAATGAAACTTGCATTAAATCAATGCCCCACGACAAGGGTACAAAATGAAGCAAATGAACAGCATTGCTGATTAAATACGTTTTACCACAAGTTTCCTGGTTTCCCACACAGTACATGTAACTCGGCTATTCGTCACAAACTATTATGTAAACAAAAGGCTTGATAAGTTTATTTTCCTAACATCAGAAGGCATTATTTAGTGCCTACCGCCCCTCAGTGCAAGCACAAGATGAAGTACAGAGCCACCCTCAATATTATAATCTTTAGCTGTTTTATCATCTCCAAGCTGCTTTCCAGCATAAATGAGCCTGCAGACAGTGAGAACATTAGAAATCGAAACATCCGATAATTTCTTGCAGAATAACCACACAAAAACAGTTGCAATTAAGATTAAAAAAAGCAGAAATTCTATGTGATTAACAGTAGATCAAAAAGCACACAATCCGTGAAATTAGAAATTTTGTGAAATCAAATAAATATTCATAATAAACACCATTCCAATTGAAAATCAAATAATTATTCATAAAAAGCACCATTCCAATTGAAAAATCATGAGAGAATTCATGCCACCAAATCCCATAAAGATAGCACAATTCTGAATCACATAATCAAGTATAATCAACCTTTTCAAATCCAATACAGAATACACAAAATATATTGAATTTATGTTGGTATCCTTCAATAGCTGCATGCAGAATAAAATGGGCATTTAAAGCTGTAGAAATTTAATGTATAAAGAGAAATGATTGTATTATTGATTGATGTTAATGTTATATATATTTGATAGTTGTATATTACAAATGGTGGATGGCTCATTATATAGGAGAGGGTGAGTGTAGTAGGTGAGGAGTAGGTGGTGGTAGGTGATGGTAAATTGGTGGTAGGTGATGGTAAATTTTAACAGCCTCCCGCAAACTCAAGGAGAATAGAAACTAATCAACTTGAGTTTGGAGAGAGTAGCAAAACAAGAAAATACATAAAAATAAACGAGGATAAGAGACACTGTATGGTCGTGTCAGACCATTGTAGAAGACAGTTTATGGGGTCATGTCGGACCGTTGTAGAAGACAGTTTATGGGGTCATGTCGGACCGTTGTAGAAGACAGTTTATGGGGTCATGTCGGACCGTTGTAGAAGACAGTTTATGGGGTCATGTCGGACCGTTGTAGAAGACAGTTTATGGGGTCATGTCGGACCGTTGTAGAAGACAGTTTATGGGGTCATGTCGGACCGTTGTAGAAGACAGTTTATGGGGTCATGTCGGACCGTTGTAGAAGACAGTTTATGGGGTCATGTCGGACCGTTGTAGAAGACAGTTTATGGGGTCATGTCGGACCGTTGTAGAAGACAGTTTATGGGGTCATGTCGGACCGTTGTAGAAGACAGTTTATGGGGTCATGTCGGACCGTTGTAGAAGACAGTTTATGGGGTCATGTCGGACCGTTGTAGAAGACAGTTTATGGGGTCATGTCGGACCGTTGTAGAAGACAGTTTATGGGGTCATGTCGGACCGTTGTAGAAGACAGTTTATGGGGTCATGTCGGACCGTTGTAGAAGACAGTTTATGGGGTCATGTCGGACCGTTGTAGAAGACAGTTTATGGGGTCATGTCGGACCGTTGTAGAAGACAGTTTATGGGGTCATGTCGGACCGTTGTAGAAGACAGTTTATGGGGTCATGTCGGACCGTTGTAGAAGACAGTTTATGGGGTCATGTCGGACCGTTGTAGAAGACAGTTTATGGGGTCATGTCGGACCGTTGTAGAAGACAGTTTATGGGGTCATGTCGGACCGTTGTAGAAGACAGTTTATGGGGTCATGTCGGACCGTTGTAGAAGACAGTTTATGGGGTCATGTCGGACCGTTGTAGAAGACAGTTTATGGGGTCATGTCGGACCGTTGTAGAAGACAGTTTATGGGGTCATGTCGGACCGTTGTAGAAGACAGTTTATGGGGTCATGTCGGACCGTTGTAG